TCGGTGCTTTCTAGCGCAATACAAAATAAAAACTTATGACATTAATTTCCAAATATTTTTAAATAAATTCCACAGGAACGAGCCTTGCCCGAGGCAGATTTTTCTTAACAAGGACCAGATCTTGCGTGTCTACAAAGAGCCTTCACGCTGATACATCATGCGGCAAACTGTTGCGAGGAACATTCTTGGTATCAAGAGAAAATTCTCTCAAGGTGTCGAAGAAAGAGAAAGAGCTGTAAAAGAGAGGTACGTATAATTATTAGCAGTTTGAATGTTGCATTAATGTTGTCGATATCCGAATAATATTATTATTACCATTTTCACTGTTTTAACAATTTACATATCACTGCCGTTGGTGACCTTCATCAAGAGCCTGTTCGTTTTGTCTGCTCTGCTGAACTGGTGCAATAAGTTAAAGTGAGACAAACATAGGTTTTCTCATTCTAACTTGTTGCATCAGTTCAGCAGTGCAGACAAAACGAACAGGCCTTATGTTATGGCTAATGTAACTTACTTGGCGGTTTTGACGCCGACAGCCATGATCGCTTCCAATGCTATCGCAGTGGTAAGTAGATTATAATTTATTGCAATTTGCTAATTGAATCTGCTCTATATCTTTGCCATTGTACAGAATCCAATGTTTTTGTTATTAGATTTTCGGCTCGGCAATCAAGTGCTCGGATACTTACTTTGAACCATATTGATATTTGTTACCATCTCAGCTTTCGGCGGATTGAGCATATAATGACATGAGCATATAATGACATGAGCATGATGAATGTCGTCGACAATGTGCTTCGTCGGTGCTACAATTGGTCACTTCCCCTCAATGTGTACCATATGTGTAACATGCGATGTAATCGGTGTAAACAATCAGTCGTAAACAAATTGTCCGATTCAAAATAACTTAAGATTATCTGAAATATCTTAATGTAATGTAATAGATTTCATGAATTACACGTATATAATAAATTATATATTTTATTTTTGTCGTATTTCTTATTTACATATCTTTTCCCGATACAGAAATCAATATTGCGAAATATAGGTTAGGGATCATTTAAAACCCAAAGCACGTCGCTCTCATTTAAATGGCTGTATTGCACAGGACCTGCTCGCAATCTGCCTACAATCTGCTATCAGGTTATGTGCGCAGGACTTGCTCGCAATCTGCCCACAGTCTGCTGTCACGTTATATGCGCAGAATCTGCGCGGTTTCTGCCGACAATCTGCTCGCACGGCCTGTCACGCAGGTCCTGTCAACAAAACACGAGCCTAATGAGGACACAGATGGCTATGGTTTTGATGTGGGAATCTGATGAAAATTGGTGCCAATCTGCACGCATTCTGCTAGCATTTTGCTTACTGGGAAGTAATGTATTATTGTTTTGTTATATTTACATTTTAATGTTCTATTATTATACATATTTTTATAGCAAAACAATAATACATTACTTTATATTGCATGTTTAACATTTACAGGTAGCTGCGTTTGATTTGATATTTGCAAATAGCTGCGTTGAAACATTACTATTGGACAGAAGCACAACCTATTCACTATCAGGTAATACACAATATAAAAAATATATTTTATTTTTATATATACTTATATATACTTATATATACTTATATATATTTATTTGTCCATAACGAAAATACATTATTTCATACTGTATATTTCACATTTTCAGATTGCAGCATTGGAACATATTTGTTATTAAGCAGAAACAGAATCTCGAAAGGCCACATCCAGGTAATGCACCGTTTAAAAGATATCTTTTATATATATTCTTGCCCAAAATAAGAATATGTTATTTCAGATTGCATATTTTATATTTTCAGGTTGCTGCTGTGAGGACAAATAACAAATATGTTCCAACGCTGCAATCTAAAAATGTGAAATATAAATGTAAAATATGAAATAATATATTCTAGTTATGAACAAATAAATATATATGAATGCATGTAATAATAAAAGATGTTTTTTATAGAATATTGTATGTTGCTTGATAATGAATCGGTTTCTTCTGTTCAATAGTAATGTTCCAACACAGCTATCTGTAAATGTCAAATATGCAATGTGAGGTAATGTATTATTATTTTCCTATTTTATATTTTTATGTTTATTATTTACATATTCTTATAACAAAATAATAATACATTACTTCATCCCAGTAACCAAAATGTTAGCAGAATGCGCGCAGATTGACGCCAATTTCGATCATATCTCCACATCAAAACCATAGCCATCTGTGTCCTCATTAGGCTTGTATTTTGTCGACAGGACCTGTGCGACAGGCCGTGCGAGCAGATTATCAGCAGAAACCGCGCAGGTCCTGCTGCCAAACTACGCGTAGAGTCTGCGCGCAGAGTTTGCTTGGTTTCTGCCGCCAATCTGCCATCAAATTACTGCAAGTTTTGCGCGGTTTTTGGTACAAATCTGCCATCAAATATCCGACAGTAGGATCTGGCGCATATTTGACCGCAGATTGGCAGCATAATTTGATATAACAGATTCTGCGTTAAATTTGTTGCCTATTTGCCATCAAACTATGATAGCAGGCTTTGTTCGAAATCTGTTCACGCAGGTTTAGCTATCTGGGATATTGCATATTTGATATTTATAGGTAGCTGCATTTGATTTGACATTTACATAGAGCTACATTGGAACATTACTATTGAACAGGACAACCGATTTACTCTATCGCTATCAAGCATCAGACAATATTCTATAAGAAAACATCTTTTATTATCATATGCATTCATATATATTTATTTGTTCATAACTAGAATATATTGTTTCATACTGTATATTTCACATTTTCAGATTGTAGCATTGGAACATATTTGTTATTTGTCCTCACAGCAGCAACCTGAAAATATAAAATATGCAATCTGAAATAACATATTCTTATTTTGGGCAAAAATATATATGAAAGGTATCTTTTAAAATGCATAAACTTTTACAGTGCATTACCTGGATGTGGCCTATCGATTCTGTTCCTGCTTAATAGCAAATATGTTCCATCACTGCAATCTGAAAAAAGTGAAATATACAGTAAGAAATAATATATTTTCGTTATGGACAAATAAATATATATGAATACATATAATAATAAAAGATATTTTTTGTAGAATATTGTGTGTTGCTTGATAGTGAATCGGTTGTCCTTCTGTTCAATAGTAATGTCTCAACGCAGCTATCTGTAAATGTCAAATCAAATACAGTTACCTGTAAATATTAAATATGCAATATGACGTAATATATTATTGTTTTGTTTACAAGAATATGTATAATAATGAAACACAAAAATAAAAGAATAAATTTCATTCATAGATCAACAATCAATAACCTACTTACCTATTCTAATGTGCAGTAAAATACCGTCACGTATATTACGCATATCTTGATTTCCTCTCTTTCCTCCTCGTTTTCTCGTTCGGCTTTTCTTATGAGCTAATCACCGATCACCACTTTTTCTAGTAGCATTGAAATATCACTATATATGTCAAACACACTCGTACACAACTTTCAAATTATAGCGCCTCTGACAATGAGCGAATCCGTTCATGGCGCCTCTGACGATGGGTTCGCAGCGCCTCTAACAGAAGAAATGTGAGATGGACATTTTCGGCGTGACATTTTTACCAATGCTAGCGAACGTGAAATTTTCGTAAATTGAATTTTGGACTAGAGTATCTCGACTCACAAGATAGGTAGGGCAAAAATAAAGACAGTTTTATTAATTAATTTAGACCCAAGAAATCGATTGAGACCACTCAGAACTGCACCGGTTTAGCGGTAATAGCGAAACTCTAAATTATGCCCCCCTCCAACTAGTTGGTTCGCGTGAATATACCACGGCAGTCAAGAGGCAGTTCAGGAACGTAACAGCAAAAAGTGTATCTTGGCGCAAATCATTGCTGTGGTTTTTGATCATAATGAACAAACTTTAACCCCGATTTGGAGGTTTCGGTAATATTGAATTCACAAATGTAAAATTGTTATAAATAACGTTGTGCTAACGTTTTGTTAACATTTTGGTAATATTTCTCAGTACAAAAATTAAAAACTAATTATTGTTCTTTTTCTAATAGAAACGATTCTTAAAGTTATTAGACCATGCTGGTTTTATATGAAACTTAGTTTATTTTATTGATACCATATCGCATCACATTTGAAAAACTCACACTTGGTATTGGTGGGACACGAACTTGGACACCCGAAAGGGCTCTAGATTATGTCTATCACTTTAACACGACACTAATTTTTCACTTTATATAAACGTGTTTACTTTAGGTATAATATCGAAGTAATGTTTAAATGAGAATGTTATAATATTGCAAATCTAATATCAAATTACAAACATTTTTTCACTATTGCATTAGCATCAAATAAATGTTAAAATAATATTTAAAAAGTATTTGCTGTAATGTTTTATAAAATGTTTTAACAACATATAGAAAAATCATATTGCAAAATAATATTTTTAAATGTATATATAATATTATCCAAGAAACGTTCAAAAATTTACATAAAATCAACATTTCTAAACATTAATTTCATGTTCCTTGCTTACCGGGATATCTTAGTGAATAAGGAATATATCGAAAATTGTCTTCTAAAACAATTAATTTTATTTAATAAGCGGATTTCATTTTATTCAATAACACGATCAATTGTTCTTATAGTAATGGAATAGCTGTTAATGACAAATATAACACATAAATCACAAAACATTCTTTGTTATCATTATCGTGTAATGTTCATAATTTACTTTTTGTAATAAATAATGTCAAATATTATATCAAATATTATATCTGTTTATATTATTTGTTTATATTGTTATATCTGATTATATTATTGACATATTTTCATCGCTTCTTTCTTCATGTTGTATAAAATATAATAAATATAACGTTAATACAACGTAAGACAATAACGAACAACAACGAAAGACAATAAATAAACTATCGCAGTTTTTTATTTTTTTTCTGGTTCCATATTTGTACATATATTTTTTATCTTGCAAAACGCAAAACTCTATTATAGTTTGCAATCTTAATTTCTGTCACTTCTCTTTAGTTTCTCTCACTAACTTATAAAGAACGATGAAAGTCATAAAAATTTTATAAATAACTGTTAAAATGATGCGCCAGTGGGTGTCGCAATGTGTGTGTTTGTCGCTGCGATAAAACTGGACAATAACGATAGCGTAGTTTCCATCGAAAATCCGCAATGTGGGTATGATTTTAAACAGTTCTTGCCGGTTCTACCTGTTTCTATTGCTTCTTGTATCGCTGTTCCTTGCATAGCGGTGTGGAATACTGAATTGGTAATGATGGTATTTACTATTTTGTTGAAAGACGATATCTTATCATTTATGATATTATCTTCTTCGTTGACTGAGGCAGCCGCTTGTTGTGAGTAAGTACATACTACACGTTGCATACATGAAGTCGTGTCGATACCGTGACGAGCCAAGACATCATCAACTTTCGTCAAAGTTTGGGTGAAGCCATTATCTTCACCTATAGATCACTTATATAAATGAAATAGAATAAAAGATATGTGTGTGCATGTATATGTGTGTTTGTGATGACAAAAAGTAAATGCAAAGTGTATCTTTGCAAAACATAGTATAAATTTTCTTTCTTAATTAAAACGTCGGGAAAAAGACACCATCTATTATATATTTAAGTATTTTACTAGATATCTTGTAATATATATTATGAATGAGTTTTAAAAATAACCAGTTAAAATCTTACTGAATTAATATAAAAAGATTCATATTAATATGTATATTATTCATGTTAATTCTGTAAAATAGATGCTTAATTAATTAACTAATTATCTATTTTACAGAATTACAGAAGCTCTATTGAAGTAAAAATTTATGGTATTGAAAATTCAGTTCATTCACTTAAAATGTACAGAGAAAGTTTTTGGAATAGATTTATCTTTTTATCGATTAGATTTGTCTTTTTTATTCCGACTAAATACCATTTTCTTTCTTCATAATACATTATTATCTATATTATTTAAGAGATACAGAAGCTTTACATGATAAGAATACATAGTCTAATATGTCATAAAAAATTCAAAATTATGTAAAAAATATAAATATTTTATTTTATTTTCCTTACTTGGTATAAAATTTATAAATATGATACTTACTTCTTGCATAAGCGCTATAAGTACCAGACAGAATATAGAGCAATTTTGGTATGATAAGAATTGATCCTACACCTATGATGGCACCCAACAGAAGTCCGCCAAGATCTATCTTCGCTGGTGCGTAAGGTGCCATACCATAACCCTTAAAATTGATTAAGTAGATTTGATATTGGAAATATTTTAATGACATTATACTGATAGTTTTTAATTAAGTTTAACATAATACTTACACTTCCTGTACTTCCAATATTAGTAAAACCGAATCGCGCTTCTTGACTGCGATCTACAATATTATTCATTTCGAAATCACGTTTTGATGTTTCTTCGCGTTGATTAATTTGAGATAGTACAGGTATTTGATCTTGCACCTTCGCTTGTTTTTTTGTGTAAGTGGTGGAACTAGGTATAAATCTGGTAATAAAGATATTTTTGATAAAGCTGGATATTACATGGTTCCTAGGTGTCCTTACATATCTTTTGCACTTTAAAAGCATCACAAAATATTAAATAGTATAACTGCCTCATATAACATATAAGAAACTTACCCTCCATCACTGAATTTTGGATTGCAATCGATGAGTATAATAAAACAACTTAATGTTACGATTAAAGCCCGTGAAATGTGAAACATCATCTGGAAAAGAAAAAAAAGAAATGTCATAAATTTTTGGTAATCTGTTATAATTAAGTATATTACGTATAGTATCGCAGTGCAGTTTATTAAGTTTTTTAAAATTCCAAAATAGTAATAAATTCTGTGCTTTAAATTGTTTTTAGCAAGAGACATACGCGCAATCTGAAATAAATAAATTAAAGTATTCTATTTTTTATTAAAAAAGGTTTATTTAAGAGTTTAAAATGTCTTATTTTAACTAGATAAGATTATAGTCGAAATATCATATTTTTTTCGAAGAACATTGTATATCATATATGTATGTATGTGTCATATATTACGATATTCATATTAAATACTTTGCCAAAAATATAACATCGTATATATATAAATATAACATTAAGTTTAATAAAATTATGTGTGCGTGTATGTGCGCGCGTGCGTGTGTGTGTGCATGTGCGTTACGTAAGTGCGCATGTGTATATATAGATACTTTCGATGATAAAGGCGAAGTAAACTCTAAAGCAAATTGCGAAGTATAAAGTCTAAGACTAATTTTAGTGGGTGATATGACGCTTCGTTGTCACAGACTAACCGCGCGAAGCTTGCTTTCTGACATATATAGCCGCTCTAGTCGTTTAAATATGACAAGTCGTAGACATAATTGAAGCGACGGTTTCGCTTTCATTGTCGAGTCTCCACGGGACATTTCTATCACGCGGTGCGTGACTCCTCTGTCGTCGTCATTCTTATTGTCGCTGTAGTTTCACGAAAATGTAGAAGGCTATCTTTTCTACAGCCTTCATCGTTGGCCACGCTGCTTGAAATCTTGAAGCTGAAATAATGACTTAGTCACTAACAATGACCTTTTAAGACGTTCAGTGACTTTTGACGACGATTTCGCGACATCACCGGCACTTCGATCGGCATTTTTACATGTGTTACAATGTCTCCTAGTATTATGAAACAAGCACAACATTGAAAGTTACAACTTATACCTGTCTGATTGTTTATACGTTTTGAAATTTTTCGAATAGTATTGTACATATATAATTTGGTTTAATAAAATGTTTTGTTAAATAAATATATTATTAGTTAGTTAAATAAATATATTATAAATTAGGTAAATAAATATATTATAAGTTAGTTAATGACTAATGAGATAATATTAAATAATTTCAATACAAGTAATATCTACATAACATAATTTGAAATTATGATTTGAATTGGAAAAAGTAGACTAATTTAATAAAAATAAATATATATAAAGCGAATTTCTACAGTATTCATGGTTTATGGAAAGAAAACTTTAAAAAAGGACTAAAAAGAAGGAGAAAAATTAAGAGCCCTATAGTACATCTAATTATTTTATGTCGATTTATAAATATTAGAAAAGACGATTTTAGAAAATAAAGTTGAATATAATTCACAGATTTAGAATATTAAATATCTGTTAATCGTAGTGTTATTATTTAAACTCAAGAATCTACAATCACAAAAATCCATGTAAATTTTATTTATACGATATGATCATTCATGTAATGGACCCATGTGATAAATATAAGTTTCGACATTTTTTCAATAAGAAAGATGGTTTGAAAAAGAGTCCCTGTATATATCATATAATTTTGGTGGCGCACTTACGCTGTAATAAAGGATATATATATATATTGAAATTATGATTTGAATTGGAAAAAGTAGACTAATTTAATAAAAATAAATATATATAAAGCAAATTTCTACAGTATTCAGGGTTTATGGAAAGAAAACTTTAAAAAAGGACTAAAAAGAAGGAGAAAAATTAAGAGCCCTATAGTACATCTAATTATATATATATATATATATATATATATATGTATGCGAAACAAAGCTTTCTTTCGCGGAATTTATGAGTTGCGTTCTTTCTTCATAAAATTCGTTCTAGACGTTGCTTCGGAAAATTCACGAAAGCCAGTCGTTTCTGTCTGTGTGACTAATTTCGTCGCACATACGTATGAGTCTATTCCGGTGAAAATGCATTACAAGTTGTGGACATGCGTAGTTATGATTCTCATGAGCTGACTGTAATTACTGCTAGACTTTCAATGCAGTATGCTCATGTGAAACAAGCTTCGTCTAGTGATACCCGGTAGTCTCTTTATAAAGATAATTGGTATCTTGCACTTGCGATTTCACTGCTAGGTACGTTAATTTTGCCGCAAGAAATTGGTAATTCCTACTTTGTTGGAAGTAGGCGAACTATTATAGGTAAAATACTCATAAGGATTTGCTGTATTTGTCGTTGAAAAGCAATCCAACACGTAGGAACACGAAAATGCATTTTGTTACCTCGCACAGTAACAGGTAATTAAACATATTTGAAGATATCGAAGTAAGCCAAAAAATAAACTAAAAATTACGTAATATATAAAATAAGAATTTTTACAAAAGTTCTTAATTTTCTAATAAGTTTTGTTATATTATCATTTATTTTTTAATATGTTAATTATTGCATAAAATAATTAAATCTATAAAAGAAATATGATATTATATGTATATATATATATATATATATATTGTACATATATATATATATATATATATATACGTATATACAGGGTATTATAAAAGTCCCGGAAGAGCAGAATAACTCGAAAAATATGAGCCCTAGAAAAAATGCGAAGTACTGAGTTTTTATGATTTTTTTCTGGCTATCTGAAGGTGATCTTGGATTTGACCTTGACAATGATCTTGAAGGTCATTTCAAGGTCAGGTAAATTTTTTTAAATAGGACCCCATATTTTTGACCCCATAAATTGAAAGAGCGGAAAATTTTACATTCGGATATGACCTTAAACACTGCCAAATTTGACATCTGAAGGTCACATAAAGGTCTAAGCTTGTTTTAGGCTGAAAACGCGAATATCTTCGAAAATGCACCTGCTAGGGAGCAATGTTACGCATAAGAATAAAAATGTAGAGGTCAACGAGGGACATTCAGCCGTGACCTTGCCCTTATTCTCAAGGTCATGAGTTAAGATTATTATTAAGGTCAAACCGGACTTTTTTAGGACTGAAATCCATACTTTTGACCTAAAAGTGTCAAGATTGAAAAATTTTACGTTCGGATATGACGTTTTTACCCTTGACCTTGTTCTTAAGGTTATGTGTCCGTCATATCAAGGTCAATTAATTTTTTTAGGCTGGAAACACATACTTTTACCCCCCATAATGTGAAGAGTGAGATTGTACGTTACGTACGAGGTCACACTCCGATTGTTGGTAATTCCTCAATATCGGCCTCTATCTCAAATCGGTCATCTTGAATTTGCAAAATCCGACGTCGGATTCGGTTTTAGCGAGCTCAAAAGTCCCAGGATCGGTATCCGAAAAATGTATTCGCCATCGATAAAATGTATGCTTCAAGGTTTTTATTTGTCTCAATTCTATCAGTGTCAAACAGATAATAGATTGTTTTTGAGTTTTCATCAATTTAACAAGTTTTGATATCGTTTTAGTCCATTTTGAATTATTATCATATTATTAACGATCAATGGTACATTACTTATTATTTTTATTTAAAGGTAAAGAAACCGAATTTTTTATACCACATTTTTGCAAATATTTGTTTTCAATTCCAAATGGCTCCTCTTACAGAGCATGAGAGAGTTTCGCTATTGATGATAAGAGGATGGGGGGATAGACAAAGGTCATATAGTGAGATTGCTGTTCAATGGAAACTTTCGTAATGAAGGCGAAGGTATAGGGTTTTTCAATTGGTGCGGGTTGATGTTGGCAGCCTGTGGCGGCTATGTTGTTTTGGAGGCATCTGTCTAACCTGTTGTTTATTATTCAGTCACTGATGCCAAATCATCATGACAAGTTGCACGATTGAGCAGCACGTCCAAATGATAAAACTTTATTATCAAAATGAGTGTTCGTTAGTGCAACCGTTGCGCGCGTTGCGCCCATTTTACGGCAGACGCGGTGGCCCTTCAAAATCGACTCTCCAACGTTTGGTGGCCAAATTCGAGATAACCGGTTCGGTAAACGATCAGCCAACACCCGTACGTCAAAGGAACACCAGATCGGCCGAGAACATCGCCGCTGTAAGTGAAAGTGTGCAGGAGAACCCGAGGCAGTCAATTCCTCGCCGTGCACAAGAACTCGGCCTTTCGCAGACTTCAACTTGGCGAATTTTGCGTCGGGACTTGGGCCTGCACCCGTACAAGATCCAACTGGCCCAGGAGCTCAAAGTTAATGACCATAGACAACGCCGTTTGTTCGCTGACTGGACTTCGGAGCATTTGGAAGAGGACCCCAATTTTGGCCGAAAAATCATCTTTAGCGACGAGGCGCATTTTTGGATGAATGGCTATGTTAACAAGCATAATTGCCGTATACGGCACGACGCCAACCCACACGAGGTTCAACAGGTAGCAATGCATCCACAAAAAGCTACTGTTTAGTGCGGATTTTGGGCCGGCGGCGTCATTGGTCCGTACTTTTTCGAAAACGACGTTGATGAGGCCATCACCGTCAATGGCGAGCGCTGCAGAACGATGATAACCAATTTCTTTTGGCCCAAATTGAACGATATGGACGTGGACGACATGTGGTTCCAGCAGGACGGCGCTACGTGCCACACAGCGGACGCCACGATGGACATTCTGTATGAACGATTTGAGGGTATGGTTATCTCTCGCAGAGGTGACGTGATTTGGCCACCAAGATCGTGCGATTTGACCCCGCTAGACTTTTTCTTGTGGGGTTTTCTGAAGTCGCAGGTCTATGCCAATAAGCCGCAATCGACCGATGCCCTTAAAGTCAACATAACCCAGGCCATCGCTCAAATTCAGCCGGATCTATGCGGCAGAATCATTGAAAATTGGACCACTCGAATCCGTGTCACCGTGAGAAGCCGCGGCGGACATTTGAACGATGTTATATACCACACATCATGGCATACATGAGCCTTTCAAATAAAAAAAGAATTTCGTTAATACCTCACACACAGCTTGTTTTATTCCATTGCAACATCGACCCACCCTTATTGAAAAACCCTTTATTTCAATATCGACTGTATCTGGCACCATCAGACGATTCGTAGAAACTGGGAGTAATAAATACCGCCAAAAATCTGGGAGGACAAGGTCCCAAACGACAGAAGAGGGACTATTTGAAGTAGCCCGATCATTTGTTGAAAATCCCAGATTGTCAATTAGAAAAGCATCTCAACAGCTTCAAATGAGTGTATTGTCAATTTCCAAAAATCTAAAGACCATTAAGTTCCACCCCTACAAAATTCATCTCCACCATGAGTTGAATGAGGATGATTTTGATCGTAGGGTGCAATTTTCAGAAGTTATGATGCAAAGAATTGATCAGCAACCGAACTTCTTGCATAATATCGTTTTTTCAGACGAAACGTCTTTTGAAATTACTGGTAAGGTAAACCGTCATAATTTTAGATATTGGGACAACGAAAATTCTCATTGGATGCTTGAAGCACATACGCAGCGACCCCAAACATTGAATGTTTAGGCAGGTCTTTATGATAATCAAGTGGTTGGGCCTTTTTTTATAAATGGGAATTTGAACTC